GTAACAATATTTTTATACTACATTTATCCATTTTAAATACACTAACCTCACTCATCAACTAAGGCAAAAACGTAAGTTATTCAGAAAATCTTTTCAGGACCCCACCTTGATGTTTCGGGACCCCACTTTGGGTCCCGACCCCAACTTTGGGAAACACTGGTCTATGCTACAAAGACCTCCASGGTATTTAGGGTCAAGGTTTGTCATAAACTGTGTACATTTGGGTTAAAAAGTAGGATTTGGAACCACAGTAAAATCTGTTCAATTGAGCATGTTGGAAATTACTGTTTGTCATACCAAGTTTGTTGTGGCACTATTGTTGACAATAATATTGATGATAATTAGTTAGAGCACAACCAAGAAAAGAAAAAGTCGGTTGACATGCAGTTTATACATTTTAATTTTAACACAGACAGTTCTTAATTAGGAAATCAAAATTGAGTTGTTGATGACTCAAAACAAGGAATTTACAAAACAGTTTTGTGATTGGTAACGTTGTAATTAGCTAAAAACTCTAAATAAATTGCTCAAATACGAATATAAACCCGTGCATCATTATGCAATAGCTAATAATTATTGCAGCGCTTGAATTGCAAAATAAGGTCAAAACGCACAGCCAGCTCAATTCTGAGCTTTTACTTTGAAGGCCTATTTCACAGCTTCCTGTTCGGTTCTGCTGCTCTCTCGATGACCTGACGACGTTTTTTTACTCCACAACCCCCTCCTTCTTCCCCCCTTTGCTGCTGCCATCTCGGGTGTCACGTGACTTGGACGAGCCGGGTCAGAAAGGCCCGGAACCAAACTGACCCGGGTTAACTGCGTTGGTTAAGAACCCTCCTCAGTGGGTAAAGACCTGTCAAGCTTTAGGTATTTGACTCTGATGTGTTTTAATTTGAACTCAGTAAGCACAAAATACCCAGGGACTGCGATTTCAAATCATCAGCCTTCCACCTCCGTGCTTTACAGTTGATTTGWAGCGTTTGTGCTAATGTTTTACCGTGTTCGTTTTGTGTGCCATGTTTTGATTTTCACCAGAGTTGTRCAATGGTCTCATCTGTCTAAAAGTCATCGGCTGGCTTGGGGACATCTCTTTARATCCTCCCAGAAGAAGAAGAGGAGGAGGAGGAGGAAGGAGATGTTTGGGCATACTTGCCCCAGCTGCTAATCCGAGCACGTGTTCTAAAATGTAAAATTGCTTCTGAACACTTTTTTAAAACGTAAAATCCAGCAGGTGGTGCTGCAGTGTTTAATGACAAAAAACTTCAAAGCCTTTCTCAGTTTTAAACCTTACATCAAAAGACATTTTATGATCTTTTTTTCTTCTCTTTTTGCTGAACTGGCAGGTTTAAAATATGTAACAAAAACCACATCTGACTTTAAAGTGCAAAGCTTTTGATCTGGATAAACAGAAGCCTGAAGCTTTAAAAATGTCCTCAAATTAAAGATGAAAGTCTGAGCTTCGTTCACCGCAGGTTGTAAATGTTCACACGGATGGAAAAAATAAATACAATTATATCACTGTTTATAAATTTCAGGCTGTTGTGTTGTGAATGACTCTCAGCTAGTTTTTTTCATTCTCTGTAAAATTAAATTTAGTCATAGTTATAGCTGTTTGGCTGACTAATTACTGACTCGAATCCTTGCACTGTATYGGGACTCATGAGTCTGAGGCCTCGTTGAAACCTGGATCCTGTCCTCTGACTGACTGCTGCTGCCAGTCTGAGAATTTAGCGCAAAGTTGCCTAAAAAAACCAGCTGAATCCACAAAAACACTGCAAATTGAGTTGAATCAGTTCAGTGATTTGGGTTWAAAAAATGCTGCAGACTCAAATGAACTGGGTCTCTGATTTGGGTTAAAAAATCAGCAGTAAAAGCTGTAGACTAAAATGAATCGAGTCTAATTTGTATTAAAAAAAACACCAATAAAACGCTGCAGACTCAGATGATTTGGGTTAAAAATCACACCAGTAAAATGTTGTTGATGCAAATTAATTGAGTCTCTGATTTGGGTTAAAACTCAGCAGTAAAATGTCACTGATTCAGATGAATTAGRTCACTGATTTCCATTAAGACCATTAGCACGAGCCTGTTGGTAACAAGAACTGGTCGGTTCCTGATATACCTGGGTACATGACTAGAGTCCTCACACTGAAACAAGTCCCACGAAAACCCAAATACTTATTGTCCTCTGGCAGACTACAGATTAAGGTCTGAGTTAGCAATAARTAACACTAAAATAAATAACAATAATAAAATAAATAACGACACATTCGCTGTAAATGCTTCAGCTTTCTACATTACCTACAATGAACGATTCAAGAACCTCGACTGAATAAATTAGACTTATCCGCATACAGACTCACTAATTATCATGAATCAAACAAGTTAATCAAGAGTCATAAACACTCAGGCGAGTCAACTCCAAATTGTTTTGTTTCTGGTGAACATTTCATCAAATCCTGACTTTATTTGACTTTATTCATTTGAGACAATTTTGTCCATGTCCATACCACGTGATTGTTGGGCTTAACAGTCATACCGTGTTCCTCGTAATATTACAAAGACAAAATGATAGATAGATAGATAGATAGATAGATAGATAGATAGATAGATAGATAGATAGATAGATAGATAGATAGATAGATAGATAGATAGATAGATAG